TAAGGGAAAATCTAAGAAACCCAGCATAAGAAATTGCAGTATTAAATCGGTAGTCTAAAGCACACAGGAAAAGAAACTCAGGAAAACAAGATAATGAGCGACAGATTGACAGCATGAAGTCCACATGCATCAATAATCACTCTCAATGTAAACGGATTGAACTCTCCAATAAAAAGACACAGAGTGGCAAAATGGATTAAAGAACAAGATCCAACAATTTGTTGCCTCCAGGAAACACACCTCAGCCCCAAGGACAAACACAGACTCAGGGTGAAGGGGTGGAGGACAATACTTCAAGCAAATAGCAAGGAAAAAAAGGCAGGTGTTGCAATTCTCATATCAGACCAAGTGGATTTCAAAATAAGACAGGTAAAGAGAGACACAGAGGGACAATATATAATGATCAAAGGGACACTTCATCAAGAAGAAATAATGCTTATAAATATCTATGCACCCAACACAGGAGCACCAAGATTCATAAAGCAACTATTAACAGACCTAAAGGAAGATGTTAAAAACAACACAATAATAGTAGGGGACCTCAACACCCCACTCACATCAATGGACAGATCATCCAGACAGAAAATCAACAAGGAAATAGTGGAGCTGAATGAAAAACTAAAACAATTGGACTTAATAGACATATATAGATCACTCCACCCTGAAGGAGCTGAATACACATTCTTCTCAAGTGCACATGGAACATTCTCTAGGATAGACCATATTTTGGGAAACAAGGCAAGCCTCAACAAATTTTAAAAAAATGAAATAATAACAAGCATCTTCTCAGGTCATAGTGCTATAAGGCTAGAAATTAATTACAAGAAAAAAGCTGAGAAAGGCACAAAGATGTGGAGACTAAACAACACACTACTGAAAAAGCAATGGATCATTGAAGAAATTAAAGAAGAAATAAAAAAATACCTGGAAACAAATGAAAATGATAGCATGCCATACCAACTCATATGGGATACAGCAAAAGCTGTATTAAGAGGAAAATTCATCACAATACATGCACATCTTAACAAACAAGAAAAATCCCAAATAAGCAACCTTAAAGCACACCTAACTGAACTAGAGCAAAAAGAACAAATGAAGCCCAAAGTCAGCAGAAGGAGAGAAATAATAAAAATCAGAGCAGAAATAAATACTATTGAAATGAAAAAGGCAGTAGAAAGGATCAATGAGACAAAGAGCTGGTTTTTTGAGAAGATAAATAAAATTGACAAACCACTAGCCAGCCTTACAAAGAAAAACAGGGAGAAAGCTCAAATAAACAAAATCAGAAATGAGCGAGGAGAAATAACAACAGACTCTGCAGAAATACAACAGATTATAAGAGAATACTACAAAAAACTATATGCCAACAGAATGGATAACCTAGAGGAAATGGATAAATTCCTGGACTCCTACAATCTCCCAAAGCTCACTCAAGAAGAGGCAGACAATTTGAACAGACCAATCACAAGGAAAGAGATTGAAACAGCAATCAAAAACATCCCAAAGAATAAAACCCCAGGACCAGAGGGCTTTCCTGGGGAATTCTACCAAACTTTCAGAGAGGATTTAATACCTATCCTTTGCAAGCTATTCCAAAAAATTAGGGAAGGTGGAACACTTCCTAACACATTCTATGAGGCCAACATCACGCTGATACCAAAACCTGACAAGGACACCACGAAAAAAGAGAACTACAGGCCAATATCACTGATGAACATAGATGCAAAAATTCTAAACAAAATTTTGGCAACCAGAATTCAGCAATTCATCAAAAGAATCATACATCAGGATCAGGTGGGATTCATACCAGGGACACAGGGATGGTTCAACATCCGCAAATCAATCAACGTGATACACCACATCAACAAACTGAGGAATAAAAACCACATGATCATCTCAATAGATGCAGAGAAGGCATTTGACAAGATCCAACAGCCATTTATGATAAAAACTCTGAACAAAATGGGCATAGAAGGAAACTACCTCAACATAATAAAGACCATATACGACAAACCCATAGCCAACATCATACTCAATGGGCAAAAACTGAACCCCATCCCCCTGAAAACAGGAACGAGACAAGGATGCCCTCTATCACCACTCTTATTTAACATAGTACTGGAGGTCCTGGCCAGAGCAATCAGGCAAGAAAAAGGAATAAAAGGAATCCAAATAGGGAAGGAAGAAGTGAAACTCTCGCTGTTTGCAGACGACATGATCTTATATATAGAAAACCCCAAAGAATCCATCGGAAAACTGTTAGAAGTAATCAACAACTACAGCAAAGTTGCAGGGTATAAAATCAATTTGCATAAATCAGTAGCATTTCTATACTCCAGTAATGAACCAACAGAAAAAGAACTCAAGAATACAATCCCATTCACAATCGCAACAAAAAGAATAAAATACCTTGGGGTAAATTTAACTAAGGAAGTGAAGGAACTATATAATGAAAATTACAAGGCCTTTCTGAGAGAATTGGATGACGACATAAGGAGATGGAAAGACATTCCATGTACATGGATGGGAAGAATAAACATAGTTAAAATGTCCGTTCTACCTAAAGCAATCTACAGATTCAACGTCATCCCAATCAGAATCCCAATGACATTCTTTACAGAATTAGAACAAAGAATCCTAAAATTCATATGGGGCAACAAAAGACCCCAAATTGCTAAAGCAATCCTGAGAAAAAAGAACAAAACGGGAGGCATCACAATCCCTGACTTCAAAACATACTACAAAGCTACAGTAATCAAAACAGCATGGTACTGGTACGAAAACAGGTGCACAGATCAATGGAACAAAATTGAAAGCCCAGAAATAAAACCACACATCTATGGACAGCTTATCTTTGACAAAGGAGCTGAGGGCATACAATGGAGAAAAGAAAGTCTTTTCAACAAATGGTGCTGGGAAAACTGGAAAGCCACATGTAAAAGAAGGAAAATTGACCATTCTTTTTCACCATTCACCAAAATAAACTCAAAATGGATTAAAGACCTAAAGGTGAGACCTGAAACCATAAGCCTTCTGGAAGAAAACGTAGGCAGTCCACTCTTTGACATCAGTATTAAAAGGATCTTTTCGGACACCATGCCTTCTCAGAGAAGGGAAACAATAGAAAGAATAAACAAATGGGACTTCATCAGACTAAAGAGCTTTTTCAAGGCAAATGAAAACAGGATTGAAACAAAAAAACAACCCACTAACTGGGAAAAAATATTTGCAAGTCATATATCTGACAAAGGCTTAATATCCTTAATATATAAAGAACTCTTGCAACTCAATCACAAAACATCAAACAACCCAATCAAAAAATGGGCTGGAGACATGAACAGACATTTCTCCAAAGAAGATATACTGATGGCCAATAGGCACATGAAAAGATGCTCATCATCGCTGATCATCAGGGAAATGCAAATCAAAACTACACTAAGATATCACCTTACACCCGTTAGAATGACAAAAATATCTAAAACTAATAGCAACAAATGTTGGAGAGGTTGTGGAGAAAAAGGAACCCTCATACACTGCTGGTGGGAATGCAAACTGGTGCAGCCACTATGGAAAACAGTATGGAGATTCCTCAAAAAACTAAAAATAGAACTACCATACGATCCAGCCATCCCACTACTGGGTATTTATCCAAAGAGCCTGAAGTCAGCAATCCCAAAAGTCCTGTGCACCCCTATGTTTATTGCAGCACTGTTTACAATAGCCAAGACGTGGAAGCAACCTAAGTGCCCATCAACAGACGAATGGATAAAGAAGATGTGGTACATATATACAATGGAATACTACTCAGCTGCAAAACAGAACAAAATCATTCCATTTGCAATAACATGGATGGACCTTGAGAGAATTACGTTAAGTGAAATAAGCCAGCAAGAGAAAGATAATCTGTGTATGACTCCACTCATACGAGGAATTTAAAACTATGGACCAAGAACAGTTTAGTGGATACCAGGGGAAAGGTGGGGTGGGGGGTGGGCACAAAGTGTGAAGTGGTGCACCTACAACATGACTGACAAACATTAATGTACAAGTGAAATTTCACAAGATTGTAACCTATCAATAACTCAATAAAAAAAAAAGAAAGAAATGGTAATTATGTGAGGTGATGGAGGTGTTAGCCAAGGCTATAGTGGAAATCATTTTGCAATATATAAATGTATCAAATCAAGATGTTGTACACTTTAAACGTATACAATGTTACACACCAATTATATCTCAATAAAGCTGGAAAAAAGAGTGATGTTTTACAATTAAAATAAGACAATCAATAGAAAGTGTGATTTGAAATATCTGACTTCCCATACTTGAAGAAATAGTAACATTCAGGAGACTATAACCAAATTATCTATCTATCTATCTATCTATCTATCTATCTATCCTATACTCTCTATCCACCCATGAATTACTGATATAGATAAATATAGATATAGGAGGTTCTTTCCTTAGAGATGATGAAACCTCCTGAGAAAATTCCTCTATATGCTGGCATTGAGATAATCCCAGTAGAAGACTACACTGCCTGCTTGATCGGGTACAAGTGTATGTGAAGGAGTTAGGGTACATGAATTCCAGAGAGGACGTGTGGTCCATAACAGGCAAGACCACATGGCTTTTGACTGATGGTCCAGTGAAGAAAAATCTCTGTCTATATAGCACTCATCTTATATTCTATCCCAGGCCCTTCCATTCAGATGTGGGGTCTGGTCCAATGAAGGATTTAAGCCCCATCAGACATTGGTTGAAGAAAACACTCACTTCTAATATGAAACATAAACAGGAAGAAGGTTGGTCTCCTCTTGGATCCAATCCAAGAGCTACCCGGAACTAAGTTCTTTGAGAAGAAATCATTTCTTGTGGAGCAATAGATGTAGAAATTCTCTGACTAGGGTCTCTGACCTCATATTTCCTGTAGATCTTACTGTCTTATGAGAATCTGCCATCCTGCTAACGTGCGCCAACAAGAGGCTAACTGGGCTGAGGCTGTATCAGAATCATGACCCCCAGAGATATTACCCTCATCTGTCTTGGTGAGTCCTAATACGCAAGCAGGTTAGAGGGGAAGATGAGGGAATCCCAGAATAGTCAGGGTCCCTCTTAACGCAAGGACTTGGTGATTTTAGTGGTTGCCAAGGAGATTCCAATCTCCTTAATGGAGAGATGGTCTTTGGCTAGATGTCTGTAACTGCCTCTAACCAAGGCCAAGCCAAACTGTGGGGCTCAGTGGTCAAGTTGTCAAGTTGACCTTGTGGGGCTCATCCAACCCATGCCACATTGTCTGGGGATGTAGGATGGTTCCAGAGTTCCTGTAGATGAGAGCCTTAGGGGTTAGAATCTAGAAGATAAAACTAAAAGATGAGCCTCAAAGCTATGTTCACTGTGGAAGAAAAAATGACACCCTGTCTGCTATTACTTAGGGTGATTTCTAGTAGAGATTGGTAACTGGAGGATTGCTTTTTCTTTAATCTCTGTCTGAGCCAGAAGATTCAGGTGGGGGAAGGTAATTGTTCCCCTATATCTCCCAAGCTCCCCTGTACCCTCTTGGCAGCTTGGCAGTAGAAGGGATGAAGGGATAGTCTAAAGCCAAGATGAATTCCAATTATATCCCCCATTCTGATTGTTTCTGCTATGTTCTCCTTGCATAATTTCTATTTCACTTTGATATCTCCAACCCCTTAAAATTCATCATGCTCAGACATAGATTGACTCTTTGCCTCTGTTAGGCTGTCTGTCCACCAAAGACGTGTGTTTTACTGGATGTTGACAACTGCAGGGATGAGGAAGTCGGGAGCCCTCTGTGATTGCCCAAATCCTCCCGTATGTCACGTCTACTTGCTTTCACAACTAATTCTCCTCAGTCTATCCACTTTGCTTCATTTAAAGGGACGCTGCCTTAGTCCAATGCTACTGTACAATCTGTGTATTCTCCCATACTAACTACAGTACAAAGCACTAAGCAATACTAAATTACTTCTGTATATTCTGTCACTCCATCTACTGCCTTGGCCTTCTAATGGGTGCAACCCTATAGCCATTCACCTAAAAACTGTAGCCTGGATTATTTTTGTCTTTAAAATACAAACTTGTTCATCTGCCTCTTAAAACTCCTCAGGAGTCTATCTTCAGATAAACCTAGCTGCTTCTCCAGGTCTCCCAAGTCCTGCCCACAGTGGTTTGTGTCTACTCCTCCAGCACATCTTCCACTCTCCCTCTGAGTGTCTGCTCTGCACCCACACTGACCTTAATTTAGTTTTTCCTTCATTCATTCCATTTTGTTATCTCAGGGCCTTTTCTCACTTCCTGTCTATCTGCAATGCTCCAAACCCACCTATCCACATCAGCTAGGCACTTCCTACTCATCCTCATATATCAGCTGAACCCTTATGTCTGTTATCAGGTCTCTGAGTTCTGTCTTTATACCACAGGCCATATATCATGATCTACAATTACATACTTATGTATTTTTTAATTAGTATGTGACATCTCCCATATCATCATTCCCTTAAAGGTATTAACAAAGTCTGTTCAGGTCAGATTTCTTGAGCTCAGTACTACTGACGTTTGAGACCAGATAATCCTCTGTTTTGGGGGCAGTCCTGTTTATTCTAAGATGTTTAGCAGCATTCCTGGCCTCTACCCACTACTTACGAATAGTACCTCCCACCCCGGTTGTGACAAACAAAAATGTCTCCAGACATTGCCAAATTGTCCCCTGGGAGGCCAAATTGCCCACTGTTGAGAACCACTGGTTTAGGTCATGATAGTAGATAAACAATGCACCTGGGTTAATGGAGGCATCTCTTCACATATCTTGGAACAACAAATGTGTGGGTGTATTGGTGAGTGAATGATACTCAATACAGGGAAATTCTTCAGGGTTTTGTCTTGCTTGACAATAATCCTTGTTAGTATGGCAAACTCCCTTCTTATCCTCATTCACAGAGCTGCTGTTGAGCTCATCACTATCAGGTCTATAATAATAATACACATGACAAGAGGAACCAGGTTTTGAGAGTCCCTTCCCCCGGTATGCTATAATAGAGATTGGCAATTGGAGAATTGCTTTTTCATGGCTCTCTCTCTTACAGTGCTCTGCCTAGGCATGAAAATTCAGGCACAAGAAGGTAAGTGTCTCCCTAAATCTTCCCAGCTCCCCTATACACTATATCTGGGTTAAAACTGAAAGAAGTCTTCAAAATGCAACATTACTTGCTCAAAGCCACTGAGCATGAATGGATTGGCGCCAAGAAGCTAACCAGCACCTTCCTATACCCCAAAACTTTCCCAAATCCCTTTCTGTCCTACATCCCACTCCTAGAGCTATTTAGTTTCTAAGCCCCAGCCTTCTGGCTCTCTCTCACAGAATTAATCATCATATTCATCAGACACTTGTGTTAGTTGTCCCTCACATTGCACTCTCTAACTGCTTCAGGATAGAGAGCTCTCCTCAACTGCAGAGGAAAAAGCACCGAATCTAAGTGAGATATTCCTAGTTTCCAAATCAGGTCTGACCACTCTTCAGTTTGTCGTCTTGAGCAATTGGCGTGGTTTCTCCAAGCTTCAGCACCCTCGCTTTAGAGTGAAAAGCAGGATTGCATAGTGATAAGGATTACCATGGCAACAGAACACCACGCAAGACTAGAGATTGCCAGGGGCTGCGGGAAGGGTAAAATAGGGAGTGACTGCTTGATGCATATGGGGTCTCCTTCGGGGGTATGAAAATGGAACTAGATAGAGACGGTGGTTGCACAACATTGTGAATGTACTAAATGCCACTAAACCATACACTTTAAAAATAGTTAATTTTACGTTATGTGAATTTCACCTCAATAAAAAAAATATATAAAAAGGAAGGAATTCAGTTCCTCAAAGAGTCCTTTGGTTCCTCAAAAGCTAAACATGATCCAGCAATTTCACTCCCACCTATGTAACCAAAGGAATTGAAAGCAGAGACTCAAACACATATTTGTACACCAATTTTCATAGAAACATTATTCACAAAAGCCAAAAGGTGGCAACAACCCAAATATCCATTGACATGAATGGATAAACAAAATGTGGTCTACACATACAATGTAATATTATTTGGCCACAAAAAGGAAGGGCATTCTGACGCATGCTACAACATGTATGAATTTTGAGGACATCATGCTAAGTGAAATATGCCAGACAGAGAAAGACAAATATTGTATTATTCCACTGATATGAGGTACCTAGAATAGGCAAATTCATAGAGACAGAAAGTAGATTAGAGGTTACCAGGGACTGAGGAAAAAGAGAATAGGCAGTTATTGCTTAATGGTTAAAGAGTTTTTGTTTGGAGTCATGAAAAATTCTGAAAATAGCTGGTGGTGATAATTGCACAATATGGCAAATGTAATTAATGCCACTGAGCTGTACCCTTGAAAAATTATTAAAATGGTAAATTTTATGTTTGTATAACACATTTTATTTTACCACCATTAGTAAATACCAAAAAAGCTGTTTAAAAAAGAAAGGAATTATAGGTTCTTCGCAATTTAATTTATTTGCGTTCTCCCTCACAGTGAAGGAAAGAAGTAGTTTCCCCATGGCAGGCCTTCTGAGTCTGGGCTCTATTTTCTTCCAGAGGATTCTCCCATTCCTATCATATCTGCTGTACCCAGTTCTGTGATTCCCTTGAATGAGTCTGTGAAGATCCTGTGCCAGGGAACTCCTCAGTCTTTCCTGTACCAACTGGAGATCCTGGGAAACTCCACAAACAAGATGGTGGAGGAAAAATATGGATTTCAGAAGGAGGCTGAATTCATCATTAACCACATGGATACAAAGACTGCAGGGCGCTATCAGTGCCGATACAGGAAAGCATACAGATGGTCAAAGTATAGTGAAGCCCTGCAGCTGGTGGTGACAGGTGAGGGGGCCTTCAGGGTCTTTTTCTTTCTTGTTTTTTTCATTGATAACATTTTTAGAGCGGTTTCAGATTTACAGGGAAATTGAGAAGATATGACAGAGAGGTCCCATATACCCGGCACCCAGTTTTCTCTATCATTAACATCTTCTACTAGTAGGGTACATTCCTTACCATTAATGAACCAATATTGATACAGTATTATGAGCCAAAGTCCATAGTTTGTTTACATGTCCTTAGTTTTTATCTAATGTCTTTCATCTATTCCAGGATCCTATCCCACATTGCATTTAGTTGTCATGCCTCTTTAGTCTACTCTTGGCCATGGAAGTTTCTCAGACTTTCCTTGTCTTTGACAAGCCTGGCAGTTTTAAGGGGCACTGGTCAGGTGTTTTGTAGAATGTCCCACTGTTGGAAGTTTCCTGACGTTTTACTCATGATAAGACAGGGGTTATGGATTATCGTGAGGAAGAACATAGAGGCAGAGTGCCATTTTTGTGGCCTCATATCAAGGGTACATACTCTACAAAAGAATATGGCTGTTGATGTTGACCCTGAGGCCCTGGCTGAGATAGTGTGTGTCAGGTTTCTCCACTGTAAAGTTACTCTTCCTCCTACCTACCGTTTCTTTGTGAAAGGAAATCACTATATGCAGCCTGTACCTAAGGAGTGAGGAGTTGTGCTTCTGCTGCATGAATCCAGCCCTCGGCTTTAAGCTCTGTCCTCAGGGTGACCCACACTCTGTGTTTCTAAAAAGGGGCACCCCAGATTTCCAGGTTCTTCTACCTACTGACATTCTTCTTATACATTGTCACCTCCTTCAGCCCCTGACATAGCTCCTCAAACTTCTGGATACTATCCCATCTTTTCTCCAACATATGGCTTCTGATATTGTGATTTATAATAAGAAACACATATTTGGTCTTTGTCCCTGTTTCTGGCACAGAGCTCCTAAAACCCTTGGCATTTCCTAAGTGATAAGAGCAATAAAGGTGCCTTGATATTCATAACAAACCTCTTTCAACCACACCTGAGTTTAGATTAATGAGGTGATTTTGGGGAAGCACCTAAAGGTGGGGTCTGGTTGCCACCGGAGGCAATCATGTGATTAGAGGGTTGGAATTTTCAGCCCCAACCCCTGACCTCCCGGGGAGAGAGGCAGGGCTGGAGATTGAGTTCAATCACCAGTGGCCAATGATTTAATCCATCCTGCCTGTGTAATGAGGCCTCTTTAAATACCCAAAAGGATGAGGTTCAGAGAGTGTGTGGGTTGGTGAACACATGGAGGTGCTGGGAGAGTAGGTGACGTGGAAGGAGCACAGAAGCTCCGCACTTTCCCCATAACTCACCTTATGCATCTCTTCCATCTGGCTGTACTTAAGTTATATCCTTGTATAATAAACTGATAATCTAATAAGTAAAATGTTTCCCTGAGTTTGGAAAGCCACTCTAGCAAATTAATTGAACCCAAGGAGGGGGTCATGGGAACCTCTGATTTATAGCTGATCAATCAGGTGACGTCCTGGACTTGCAATTGGAGTTCTCAAGTGGGGTGGGGGTAAGTTGTGGGACTGAGCCCCTAATCTGTGGGATGTTATACTATCTCAGGGTAGATAGTGTGAGAACAGAGTTGAATTGTGGGACACCCGTCTGGTGTTGCAGAATTGCTTGGTGGTGTGGGAAAAACAATAAAACCCACGCATTGTAATTGGGAACAGCATGGTAGGGATCTTCTGGCTTTAGAGACCAGATCTATCTCTTGAAGATGGCATCTAATCTAAGCCCCATGGGCTGCTTGTTTGCTCAACTCTGTCTGCAATAGCTTGGGACAGAGTATGTGTCCTGTGGTAGGGAAATGGGATATTCCCAGCTGCCATTCTTTTACAGCAGGGAACATCAGCATCTTCCCTTCTCTTAGCACAGAGAAGGGGGAAAAGGGAATAACTGCGAATAGCTTGCTAACAGCTCGCTCTCTTCTGTTTTAGGCTTGTACGACAAACCCTTCCTCTCTACTGACCAGGACTCTAAAGTGATTCCAGGAGAGAATATTTCCCTCCAGTGTGGTTCACCACACACCCCATTTGATAGATTTTCACTGACCACGGAGGGAGGAGCCACCTTGCCACAACACCAAGATGAGGGACACCAAGGAAACTTCACTCTGGGTCCTGTGACCCCTGGCTTCTCAGGGAACTACAGGTGCTATGGTTGGTATAGTGACAACCCTTACGTGTGGTCAGCCCCCAGTGACACCCTGAAGCTTGTGGTCAAAGGTATGTGTATCTCAACCCAGCCAATGACCTTCTCTTTGGGGCTCCAGTTGGCTGTCCAAGGCCTGGGCATCAGGCAGGAGTCTGAAGAGGTGTTCTAAGAAAGAACGATGGGGCAGTAGAGAGTCGCTACTCAGAGGACTGTGAAGAGAGAAGCACTTCTCAATCACACCACATTCGACTTTAACATCCTCTCCTAGAGTTCTCTAGACAGGACCCTTTGAAAACACGTGGTCTTTTGAGAAAGGAAAAATAAGTGCTCAGAATCATGTTAAGGGGCATTGTTGAGACAATAGGTATCTGATACATCCTTAGACTGACTCACTTCTCTTTTTCACATGCTTACTTGCAGCTGGGCATCCTTACACTAACCTGCAATACTGGGATCCACTCTGAGTGACTGGCTAGGAACTTATGGTTCATGGGAGAACTCTTAAAAACTCTATCATAAGCCCCATTTTTATGTTGTTTGCTTACATCACTCTGCTCAGAGGTAGAAGAGTTATAGACAAGAAAAGCAGTGGTGAGGAACTGTGATACCCAGCAACCCTGCCGATGGCTAAGCAGGGTGACCACATTCATCTCTCAGATCCGCCTTGTCTAGTCATTCTACAAGCTAAGCAAATATGACAGTCACAGCTAGAATGGTCTTTTCAAATAATGGTGCATGGACAATCGGGCATCTATGGAGGAGGAGTGAACTTATCAGTCGTTTCCTTTAGAGTAGATAGTCACTGTGTCTTGTTTTAGAAACCGTCTGCTCTTCCAGTGCCAAGACGATTATCTCTTGTGTTATCTTCAGAAACTCAAAATATTTTGCATTTTGCAATTAGGAATTGCAAGCTCATTTGGAGTTGATTTCCGTATTTTAACAGGAAAGAGTTACTAGGAATTCTAAACATTGTAATTTCACAGTACTTTATTACACCTTGAGAGGAACATAGGCCCATGCAGTCCACACAAAAAATTAAGAAATCAAGAAATTTTTTAAAGTTTCAGACAACAGCAACATAGAGTGAAGAGTCACACAATAATGGAGATAATTTTTACCTAAGTTTATCTGAAAATTTCCTCCCACCTACTTCCCAGATACCAACAGTGCTGTACCCTTTGTCATGTATGAGAGAGGAACACAAATTGTTACATGGAGTGAAGAAGGTGTAGAGGAGAGAATTTAGAGTTCTGGATATGTGGGGGGTTTGCTGGTATATGTTTAGACATTCAGTAAGAACGCCGTGTGAGGAGGAAATTAAAAGCAAACAGAACATCCATACAACCACCTCCTTCCCCATTTATAAGGCCTTCTGGGAACCACAGTTCCTCACCATTAGACCTAGGCTTGCAGGCTAAGTGTGGCACTCACAAATGCATGAGCTCATCAAGGAGGGGGTCCAAGTGGGACCACAACTAGAGAAATGAGATCCCTTTTCAGGCCTCTGGGGTTGAAGTTTGAATAGAACATGACCAATGGTTGTTCATCTCCTTTGAATTATGTCTCTAGATACCATGAACCAAGACTACAAGTTGGAGAATTTGATCCGAGTGGGTGTGGCAGGGCTGGTCCTTGTGGCTCTCTTGGCCATACTGGCTGAAAATTGGCACAGCTATAAGCTTCCTCACAAGGAAGACAGGCAAGACTTGCCTGAATGGAGCTATGATAAACAGAAAATGTAAGACAGACCCTCTGGACCAACCAAAAACAGCCTCTGCACCAACCCCCAACAGCCAGCAGGTAGACACCTGGTGCTAAAGGCAGATGAGTAGGATTTTGTGGTGTCTGGAAAAGCTACTTGGAGAACAGAAGGAAGAAAGTGGCACTAACAAGCTTGGATCCATTCTCAAGCCAATCAAATAGCATTTTCTTATAGGGATCTGGGATATTTGCACCCCACCTTCCTGGACACTGATAATAAAATTCTCACTATTATCTTGGATTAACTGACTTCCTGTGATAAAAATAATTCAAAGCATTGTCAATTCTCCTTGCTGACTGTTTTTCACCCATCCTCTGTAGAAGTCCTGACCCATAATTTCATTTTGTCTTGAATTCATCAGCAAAGCAGAATACCTTTACGTCTTCCTATGTAGCACCTTAACACTTAGAATTCCATTAATTATTAATACTGTCCACTCAGCATACCACATATTCCATACATATGTTATTCTAGTTTTCCCTACACTAAAATTCTTGCATTAATGCATGCTTTCCCCATTTTTAAGAATATTCTCCTGTTCTTATGAAACTGTAACACATTTCAAACTGTCTCATGCCTCAAGCACAGTAGATAGACTTGTGAAAATAGCCAGAACAAGAGTCTCTTTTGGGTTATCTCAGCACTTTGAGCAACTTAGTCTATTGATTCGTCTTTTTGTAGTATTCATCATGAGGTCTAGACAATGTAAAATATTGGAAATATTTTTTGAAATTATGAATAAATAAGTTGGCGAAGGAAATGTTCCTAATTGGGCCTCATAAAACAATGAAGAGCCATGATTTCAGAGGAGGGCTAACAAGAGACTTTACATCAGATCCAGGATTTGGACCAGAGATGCAATGGGGTTTGACTCCAGGAGAGGGAAAAGAACAGCCTCACGTTATGTGGTTTAGATGATGGCAGGGCCTTGTTTGGAAAAAGGCTTCTGAGAATAAAAACATGCTGCACTCCTAGGAAAAGATGTTATTGTCCTGTAGCCCCGTGACAAGGAGCCACCCAACCAGTTTTTAACTCACCATCAATGACCGCTCACCCCAGTGAAAATGCCTTGGAGATTCAACCAATCAGACTGCTTCTTTGTTCTAAATGTCAGCCAAACAGAAACAAGTTCACTCCACTAAACACACCTGTGAGTGATAACCAATCAAAATAGTCTCCCTTTGGGGCTGGCATGGTGGCATAGCGGTTAAGTTCGTGTGCTCCAGTTGGGCAGCCCTGGGTTAGCAGCATCCGATCCCACTGGACCTAGCACAGCTCGTCAAGCCATGCTGTGGCCACATCCCACATAAAGTAGAGGAAGATTGGCAAAAGATGTTAGCTCAGGGCTAATCTTCCTCACAAAAAAAAAATAGTCTCCTTCAAATAAATATACTTTTACAGATGATGTCAAACCACAGGAGCCCCTGAAAATCCACATTTCCAAAAAAAAAAAAAAGAAAGAAAGAGAAAAAACCGCATAGGATGTAGAATCATCAGTAGGCTCTGCTCAGAGACACCATGTCTGGCCAGCAGAGCTGTCCTTTACCACAGTAAAAATAAATTTGACTTTGCCTTTTAATTTCAGGCATTGAATAGTGAGTACATTAGCCTTTGATAGTTCATGTATTGGATTGATTTAGGTTAAGTACAAGGTTTGGCTTAGGAGCAAAGAGTATGGGGGCTTATATTCCATGACTTTCTGTTCTATGTTAGGTTTTATGCTGGCAATTTGTTTACAGGAGCATACTGTAACCCTGTGAATTTTATTTTAATCAAGCTGCATGTCATGTGAGCCAACAGAGGCTCAGAAGTGGCATGATTTGGATAATGATTCAAATATATGGGTACAGAGTTTCAGTTTGGGATGATGAAAACGTTCTGGACTCAGATGGTGGTGATGGTTGCACAAGAATGTGAATGTGCTTAATGCTGCTGAACTGCACAGTTTAAAATGGCTTGAATGAACCTCTATATCTGGTAAATGACAACTCCTCTTTTGGGGTACTGAGTTTCAGTTTTGCAAGATGAAAACATTCTAGAGATCCACTTTGAAACAATATGAATGTACTTTACATTACTGAATTGTGCACTTTCAAATGTGAAGATGGTAAATTTCATGTTACATTTTTTTTTACCAAAAATAACATTTAAAAATGATTAAAATGGTAAATTTTATACCATGTCTATTTTTCCACCATTTTTAGAAAGTTCTTTATTGTCTATAGACTGAAAGTATATGAGTGGTTGCCTAGGGCTGGAAGAGTAAGGGGGTAATGAGCAGTGACAGCTAGTGGGTATTGGGTTTATTTTAAGGGTGCTGAAAAAGTTCTAAAATTAGATTGCAGTGATGGTTAGGCAACTCTGTGAATATACTTAAAACCATTGAATTACACACTTCAAATGGGTAAATTGTATATCAATTATATCTCCATAAAGTTGAGGTTTTTTCAAGTACCAAAAACTGAAAAATTATTAGCAACATCCTCAGTGTCACTTACTCTTTAATTGGTTAAGTCATGACTTGAAGTCCATCATCTCCAACATGGCTTTCTGTCTGTCTATGAGGATAGTTCTAGGAGTACAGGTGTGAGCTTAAGGTGGAAACTTGGCTGAACTACATAGATACAGAAGGCTCTGTAAGAAACCAAAGACAAACAGTGAGGTGAATGGTATGGTTGATGTTAGTGTTTGGTGTCCAGGGAAGACACTCAGGTTCAGAGGCATAGCCCCCTAAAGTGATCACACAACACCTCTAATTAGCTGGATAAAACATAGAATTTATTTAACATGCTTGTGCTTCAGTTTCTCACCTGCAAACTGATGGAATAAATAGTACCAATTTCATCAGCTTATCATGAAGATTCAATAAATTAACGATTGCAAACTGCCCAGGATAGTGCTTCATACACAGGAAACATTTTTCAAGTCTGGTTAACACAAGCCACACCTCTAAAGATGATTCTATCTTCAGGTCTTTACACACTGTTGGAGTAAAGTGTTCCACTCTGAGTGGCCTCATGCACCCAAGGTCTACATATGTGAGTTCTGAAGCAGAAAAGAGAGGACTAAAGAATCATTAATATTACGCGGTGAGAGATCATTGCTCTCCCAAATTTCCATACCAACTTCAGGAATTACTATAAAGCTACAATAATCAAGATAGTGTGGTATTGGCAAAAGAATAGACAGATTAATGGAACTGAATAGAAAGCCTAGAAATAAACCCACATAAATGTCAACTGATTTTTTACAAAGAAGCAAAGGCAATACAATGGAGCAAAGATAGTCTCTTCAACAAATGGTGTGGAACAACTGGACATCCACATGCAAAAATAAACAGACAAATCTAGACACAGACTTTATACCCTTCACAAGAATTAACTCAAAATTGGTCTCAAACTGAAATGTAAAATGAAAACTATAAAACTCCTAGAAGATAACATGTGAGAAAACATAAATGACCTTGAGTATGGTGATGCCTTTTTAGACACAAGACCAAAGATGTGATTCATGAAAGAAATAATTGATAACCTGGACTTCAGTAAAATTAAAAACTTCTGCTCTCTAAAAGACAACACTAAAAGAATTATAAGACAAGCCACAGACTGGGAGAAAATATTTGCAAAAGATTTAAATTGGACCTTTATTTTACATCATACACAAAAATTAACATGAAATGGATTACCAACTTAAATGTAAGACCTGAATCTCCAAAACTCCTAGTAGAAAATAAATGCTCTTAGACATTGATCTTGTCAAAGATTTCTTTGGATCTGACTCCAAAATCTCAGGCAACAAAAGCAAAATTAAACAAGTGGGATGATATCAAACTAAAAAGATTGTGTACAGCAAAGGAAACAATCAACAAACAAAAAGGCAACCCACAGAATGGGAGATAATATTCACAAACCATATATCTAATAAGGGATTAATATCCAAAATGTATAAGGAACTCATATAACTCAATAGCAAATAACAATAATAATAGCACAATAAAAAATGGGCAAAGAATCTGAACAGACGTTTTTCCAAAGAAAATAAACAAATGGCCACCAGGCACATGAAAAGGTACATAACATCACTAACCATCAGGAAAGTGCAAATCAAAACCACAATAAGATGTCACCTCACACCTTTTCAGGTGACTAGTATTTGAAAGGTAGAGATAATAAGTGTTGGCGAGGGTGTGAAGGAAAAGGGAACTTTGTGCATTGTTGCTGAGAATGTAAGTTGGTACAGCCATTATAGAAAATAGGATGGTGGTTCCTCAAAAAATTAAAAATAGAACTACCATACGATCCAGCATTCTAAGTTCTAGGTATACATCCAAAGGAAATAAAATCAATATCTCGAAGAGATATCTGTAGCTCTGTGTTCATTGCAGCATTATTCACAACAACCAAGATACGGAAAACACCCGGTGTCCATTGATGTATGAATGGATAAAGAAAATTTGTTATATTATATATATGGTGGAATATTATTCAGCCCAAAAAAGGGAAATCTTGCTATTTGCAACATCACAGATGAACCTGGATGAACTTCATTATGCTAAGTGAAATAAGCCAGACACATAAATAAAAATACTGCATGATCTCATTGATATGTGGAATCTAAAAAAATTGAACTCATAGAACCAGAGAGCAGATCAGTGATTATGGGGGGTGGGGGCGATGAGGAGATGTTGGTCAAAGGGTACAAACTTCGGTTTCTGAGCTGAAAAAGTTCTGGGGATCTGATGTACAACATGGTGATGGTAGTTGATACTGTATCACATACTTGAAATTTGCTAAGGGAAGAGATCTTAAGTGTTCTTGCCACAAAAAAAAAAATCTGTTTAGGGAAAGTAATGGATGTGTTAATTAACTTCATTATATTAATCATTTTACAATGTATATATACCACATTGTGATGATATATAAATATATCCCTCAATAAAACTGGGAAAAAATTTTAAATGAAGAAATAAAAAGGCAAATTATCCACTCCCAGAAATGGAAACTTAAAACCATTTTGATTAACTTTCTTGAGACAAAAGTCTTGGCTACTAGACAGATACTGGACAGGATATTATCTCTAAAGACTTAAGGATGTGGTTTCAGTACCTTCCAGAGAAAATAGCTGTGCTCTTAAGCCCTCATGATGCAAGTGTTTTGAACTAAGAGGTAGTATTGCAGAGAAAAAAACACTGGAGTAATGCCAAGTCTTTGGAAGGATTTCCTTCTTAGAAAAAGCAGCTCTAGAATTGCTCCAATCGCCAGCTCAGAAAATGACAAGAAAACTTGCCTATGTCTGCAAGTCTGGAAGAAGACTTATGAAAAATCAAAAACACAGACGTCTTTCACGAAAGTATGAGATTGAATTTCGCTCCTGAGACATGTGGGACCAAACCCATAAGTTAATGTAAAATTGGTTACAATCTGCTGAAACACCTGGGAACTCTAGAAGAATCAAATGGAAGACAACACTATAGTCATCCCTTGCTTAACGACGGAGATATGTTCTGAGAAATGCATTGTCAGGTGATTTCATTGTTGTGCAAACATCATAGAATGTACTTACGAAAGCCTAGATGTATAGCCTACTACACACCTAGGCTACATGGTGCTAATCTTTTGGGACCACCATCATATATGCAGTTCATCATTGACCAAAACGTTGTTATGTGGCACATGACTGTTTTGCTACAAGCACACATAACAATATATTTTGGAATCCCATAGACAGGAAAATTCAATGTAAATTATCATCAATAAAAATTACAAACCTCATGAGGAAACAAAGAACCCCAAAGTATAATGGAAGAATTAGCACCTCCAAAAAAGTTGAGATATAGAACAATCATATGCATATATACATTATTAAAATAGTAAGAAGAAAGAAAATCCATAAGGAAAGCAAGGCTTCACCTATTCTCTAAAATCCAGACCCAAACCCAATGAGGGCCATACCATGGAGAGCTTAGCCTCATCCTCGGTGGTACCTGGGGGTTGACTCAAATTCCAGGGCCGTTCCTCCCAACTTTTTAAATATTTTCCCAGGAACACGTTATCAGGCAACCAGTCACTGAAATAGAACTTCAGCCTCACTGAGGAGAGAAGTAGCAGAACTTTATCACCATTCCAGGGGAACTATTTTTCTGCCCTGATCACTTTATCCCCAAAGCACAACTAGCCCTCTCCTGACCCAAAGACCCATTCACTAGTAACCTTACCTTCATGCTGTGGGTTGAGTTTAGACTGACAAAGATGAGTAAATTAAGATATGTTGTGTGGGAGGAGTGAGACAAGATTCCCTCTTGGTCCAGAGACATCTTTCTCAACTACAGGTGAGCTAGCCCCATCGTCTCCTCCGAAGGAGCTGCTCCAGCCTCCCTCCCAAGTGTTTTGGCATCTAAATGTTTCCACAGACCAAGTGTGACCCAAAACCATACCACATAGCCAGGTTTCTCACTTGCATGGGCTGTGTCCCCTCTCTCTATATGTGGTCGACATGGAAATTCTGACGGGTGGGGACCTCATCCTCACCTGGGATCTCACTCGCTATTTTCTCTGCACCCATCTTTTCTGTAAGTCTACAGAAGCTAAGGTCTCCAAACCATGCAAAATAGGAAGTTAGCTAGAAGAAGCACTGAAACCTATCCTTTGTGAGTCCTATATGGGAGACACCCAGTAGGGGAGGACAAGACAAGCAATCCAATGGATGGTCCTTTTCACAGGGGGAGCACAGTTTCTGATTTTAGGTTAGAATCTGCCTAGGAGTTTGATGTCCAAGCTATCATCTCAGTCAAGAGTGAACATCTCTCTTTAGTTTTCCTCTCCAAGAAAGCTTCTGAGCAAGATGTTACAGACACATGGGAATGATGCCTTCCCTCAAAATGTTATAAGGACATTTTGGTAGAGACTATCTAGACAGGTAGAGTGGATGGATATTGGCTGGCTGGAGAAGGGGAATTCTGGAATTTGAAGCTGAAGATTGAAGGCAACAGAAAAGAATGGAATGGAAATCCTATCATTTGTGACAACATGGATGAGCTCACAGGACATTATGCTAAGTGAAATAAGACAGACACACAAGGACAAATACTACTGACACCACTTACATGAGAATGAAACTGTTCTATGTTTTGATTGAGGTGTTGGTTACATGACTATGCGCATTTATCAAAACTCATGGAACTGAACACCAAATGAGTAAATTTTACCATACACAAATTAAAAAATGAATGGAAAATATTCGACAACATCAAGAAATAAGAACAAAAGGTGATAGATTAGAGAAGATTTTCTCATAAAATACGAGGCATAATATAAATCGGCGTAACATTTCATTTTCAAAAATTGTTTAGGCCCTTTGAAAAAAGAATAATGGACACATTTTTTAGTTAAAAATTATCAAAATAGTCAAGATTTTGATATTTAATATCTGCTTTATAACAGACTAAATGAATGTACTTATGTAAGAAATAGAACATTTTTTGCATGAAGAATAGAATTTTATTAAAACATTGTAACAAATCTTTAAAGAAGATAGTGTTATCATTCCATTCTGATGAGGTCAATTAATTTATCCAAGCATATACATGCTGTACACAGGGGAAGCAGGGTTAAACACTTTTTTTTAATGATTCTAAGGTTTTTTCTCTGTACACTGCCCCATGCCTTTTCTGGACATAATGTCCACATTTCAAAATTTGGAAGTTGACTCATAAATGAGTTTCATGTGAGGCAGGCAATGGTCAGAGGATCTGGTTAGACCGCAGATATGACCAGATGTGTCGTGAGTACCATGTTCTTACGCCCCATGGTCAGAGGTGGAGGGAGAGCTGTGAACATTCTTGTAAAAAGATCGATGTGAAAGCCCCATGGTGATTCGTGCTGGGCTTCACCCACCACATCCTGTGCATCTTCCTGGCCTACTGGCCTCAGTCTCTGCTCAGCTGCTCCACACTAGCCTGGCAGAATCTGTGCTATGCCTTCTATACTCACTGTCCTGCTCTGCCTCGGTGAGTTCTCGCATGGAAGGGAGGTGAAATCCAGGAGTATGGGTATGGGTGGCACAACATGTTTTATTAATCCTATCTTCCAGAGCTGTATCTGAGCCAGAGGGTCAACGCCCAGAAGCGTGAGTCCTTCCTTCAAAGCCCCAGAGTCACTCTGCGGGGTTCAGAATAAGTATCTCCCTGAAAACAACTAGGGGAGAAAGCAGGGGCTCTGACTTGCTAGGAGGGCTTGAGGCTAGCAGCTGGGTGGGAAGTAGGGTGGGCAGGAGCTTTATCTAGAATTCCAGCCTCTGATTCACCTCCAGGTACTCCCTCTAAACCTGTCATCTGGGCCAAGCCTGATGTCATGATTCCAAAGGGAATGCCAGTGGTCATCTGGTGTCAGGGCACTCACAAGACGGTTGAGTATCAGCTGCATTTCGAAGGACAACTTTCTGCTTCAGAGAGACCAAAAACACCTGGAATGATGAACAAAGTCAAGTTCCCCATCCCGGCTATGACCTCAAGCACTGCAGGGCGATACAGGTGCTTCTATCGAAGTGGGGAGCTGTGGTCAGAGCCTAGTGACCCTCTGGATCTGGTGGTAACAGGTAACCGTCCCATTCTCTAGCTGTATAGTCATCTCCTCAGCCTGAATCCTCAGGAAGGCCATCATGTATTCATCACATTTAGTCTCTTCCAAGCTCATTCAGATACTGTTCATCTTGGGGGTGGGGTCTGATCACTTCCTACAGGAGTTATCTATAGAGAGCTGTCTCTATGACCTAGGAGTGGATTTGTGTTGGGTCAAGTTCTCCAGGTAAGAGAGTCTGAGGTGGATGTGTGTGTGCAGGGGGGATTACTGGGAAATATCCTCAAACACAACACAGGCTGGGAAACAGGCCGGGTAGAAGGTTAAGCTGGCCTGTGATGTAGTCTCAGAAGAGTCCTCAGCCAAGCAAATGTGGGATACTGGACCTGGGATGGACCTTCAGGATTGTCTTGAAATGAGGCTAGGAGCTCTATACCACCCGGTGTCAACCAGTTATCGAATGAGAACCACAGTTAGTGAGGTTCCAGACAAATATTCTTGCTTTTGTGGCACTTGTATTCTAACGGAAGACAGACCATGAGTCAAAGTCAGGATAAATAAATCAATTATATAGTACATGAGGAAGAAATGGTGGTATGGAAAAAGACAAAGCAGAACAGGGTTAAAGTTATTAGGAGGGAGGATAATCTTGGGTCGAACAGTTCCTTCAGCTGAGGGATGTGCTTCTCAAAGTTAAGCAAGGATCAGAATCACCTGGAGGACTTGTGAAAACACCGGTGGCTTTAGTACACTTGTGTTCATAGTAGCACTGTTCACAATAGACAAAAAGTAGAAACAACCCAAGTGTCTATATATGGCTGAAGGGATAAACATAATGTGGTATATACATACAATGGAATATTATTCAGCCCTAAAACGTGAGGAGATTCTGACACCTGCTACAACGTGGATGAACCTTGGAGACATTATGCTACGAGAAATAAGCTAGTCACAGAATGATACTACATGGGATACTTAGAATAGTCAAACTCAGAGACAGAAAGTAGAATGGTGGTTGCCCGGGGCTGGGGGAAGACGGAATGGGGAGTTATTGTTTCATGGGTACAGAGTTTCACTTTTGCAAGATGAAAAGTGTTCTTGAGATAGACATTGATGATAGTTGTTCAACAATCTGACTGTACTTAACACCACTGAATTGTCCACTTTAAAAAAATGGTTAAGATGGCAAATTTTATGTTGCGTGCATTTTCCAACAATCAAAAATAATAATTTTTTAGCATAGATGGCTGCCATACTCCTGAGTTTCTGATGCAGTGGGCCTCGGTGGAGCCTGGGAATTTGCATTTTTAACAAGGTTTCAGGAGATGCTGATGTTGTTGGTACCAAGGACCAGACTTTGATAACCACTGAGTAGGGCAGTCCCCAGAGAAAGATTCATGTTAATACTCATGGGAGCTAGGGGAGTGAGTGTCTCATCCTTGAAGGGAGAGATCAGGGAGGGTGTGTCCATGATCAGGGCAAATTTAGGAAATAGAAGGGACTGAGATTCTGGGAAGTGATACCTGGTTTTAAGGTCCAGGGGGATGGGAGATATATAAAGATGTTCTTTACCTACCAGTCACCTTCTCTCACAGGAATGTATGACATACCCACCCTCTCAGTTCATCCCAGGCCTGAGGTGATTTCAGGAGAGAATGTGACCTTCTGTTGCCATCTAGAGACTGCAACAACCACGTTCTTTCTGCTCAAGGAGGGAAGATCCAGCCGCCCATGGCGCAGATATGGGAATGTCCAGGCGAAGTTCCCCATGGGCCCTGTGACCACAGCCCACAGAGGGACATACAGATGTTTTGGTTCTTATAACAACCATGTGTGGTCTTTCCCTAGTGAGCCCGTGAAACTCCTGGTCACAGGTGAGGAAATCCCCAATTTTCTCCCATGTCCCCTCTGGAACCCCAGGTAAACCTCAACCAGTGAAGAGGAAGGCAGCAAAAGGACAGGTGGGAAGATGCAGAGAGGGTGTCTCCTACCAGTGCCCTCATCCACATCCACTTCCTGGAGGCCCAGCTGATCATTCATGAGGAAGAACGCCAGAGGGATGGGGGGAGGGTATAGAGAATAGCTGGGAAGAGCAGAGGAAACCCCAAACCCTTACTTGTTTCCTTGCCTCCATTGTCAGCAGATGTCGGGGACCCCAGCCTTGTGCCCACAGAGCACATCTCTTCTCCTGGTGAGTAACAGGTACTTGGGGGAGAAATCAAATCCTCCTAATGATGCTAAAAATGTGATATCTATTCAAAATATCCATTGAGTGCATAGTATATGATATGACCTACAGCTCTCTAAGCCAATCAGACAAATATCCTTGTTTTTGTAGTACTTGCATTGTAGCAGAAAACACTGTGAGTCAAAGTAAGGATAAATAGATCAAGTATATAGCACATGAGGAGGAAATTATGGTATGGAAAGAGACAAAGCAGGACAAATGCGGTCAAGGTGATTGGGAGTGCAGGTAGCAGTATTAAACACAGTTGTCTGAGTTGGCCTCACAGAGAAGGAAGCATCTGAGCAGACACTTGAAGAACTGAGGGCATTAGTCCTGTGGCTATCTGGAGAAAGAAGGTTCCAGAGAGAGGGAATGGCCATTGCATATGCCCTAAGGCGGGGAGATGGCCAGCGTGATAAAAGAACAGCAAGGAGACCAGTGGGACTGGAAATGATGTTAGTAAGGGGATGGTGGGGAAGGGCTGGTACTGGGGCAACTCTTTTAGGACCCTGAAGAAAATGGTAAAACTCTGAATTTTAGTATGTATGAGGAAGAAGAAATGATATTGATTGACTGAATGAGGAAACTGAGGCTCATGTAGAATGGCATGAAGACACACATTTATTAGTCCTAGAGCTGAATTCTTCCTCAGATTCATCTGTCTTTTGACTCTTCCACTCTACCTGCCAGATGAAGCCACTAGAACCTGGAGTGTAGGATGGGGACTTCAAAAAGCAATAGAATGTAATGGGGTATATCCAAGGGAAGGAGAGCCTGGATGGAAGAGGCCAACACCATCCCCTTTCCTCACTTCTTCACTTTCCTTGTAATCTTCAGATTCATGGGACCCGTACTTGTTAACCACAGAGATGCAATTCCAGGAAGGTAAGCAAGCATCTGGGACTTTAGTCTCTAAAGGAAGTAAGATCTGGAAAGGAGAGAGGGAGAGGGATGGAGTGAGGTGGTGTGCATATGTTCCTGTCAGCGATCACCCTGTTCTTCTGACCCCAGATCCTGCCCTCAGGAACTACGCTATCCAGAATCTCCTTCGGATTGGTCTGGCTTTCCTGGTCCTGGTGGCCCTCGTGTGGCTCCTAGCTGAAGACTGGCTTCACAGAAAGAGGACTCAAGAGGGAACAAGCAGGGCTTCAAGTTTGGAATGCAGGAGAAGGTTCAGAACACAAAGATCCCTGGACAAATGATCAAGGGATGCAGTGGCCGTAGGTAGAGCTGAAAGCTGATCTTGACCTTGGGCTTGAGAGCTCTGTGTTGTCCCCATGGAGGAGGGAGTCATTGCAAGAAACTAAGGGACAACTGCATGGAGTTTGGCAAGCATCCTGGAGGAGGAAAAAGGGGGGATGAAGATGCTAAATTTCTTCTGTGGACAGATCCCATTTTCTCCTCTAGGTTCTAAGTATCTTTGCACCCTCTTACTGCAAACTAAACTTTTAGCCACTCCAGTTTTTCCTGAAAACATCTTTAACAGCACGGCCATGGAATATTTCCTTCCTAACCTGGTCTTTATCCTTATTTCCTCTTTGCTTTCTCTACAGATGTCATTCAAAATATTTAATAACCAATACAGAACAGGCATTTGTCAAATGCAACAGGAGCCAGAAAGGCAACAACCAGTCACTGGAGATGCAGGCTATAAACAAACAGTGCAGCTATATGAGTGTGTCCTGGCTGATCTCACCCACCTCAGCCTCAACTTCCTCTATCCCGTCCACCACAAGATCCCGGCTTCACTCCTTTATCCATACCTCATCTTGTTCTTCTGGTCTCTTAGTAGATATCATCTCCTCCAAGAAAGTTTCCCAAGTCCTCCAGCTTGACTTAAGATGACACTTTTATACTCCCAAAACACCTGTTATTTCTCTATAACAGCACTTGAACCCTAATGCTGCATATATACCCATTTTCCAGTCTATACTGTGAACTCACGTGAATTAAATCTATGTCAGATTTCATGGCCATGTTCACAGTACCCAGTACTAAGAGAGTTCTCAGAAGATATATGTTGGATAAATGGACATACAAATGGGACCAGAGTACAGTTTGAAACTTGAGCCTCCTGTTTATGGTCTTTGAAATGCTATCTAAGCACCACAAGCTCTTTTCTCCTTGAGAATTTCTACTTTACCAATTCATTAATACACTTATTATATGGATTCCCACCCCCTCTCAATATCCTGACACCTCACATAGGTTAAATTCATTCTCTAAATCTGAGTTCTCTGTTAAATACCAGAGAATAATAATTCCAACCTCAAAGGGATAACATAAAGGTTTAGTGATGTAAAGATTTAAGAAACCCCAGAAGTTCTGACATATGTAAGTTACTCAATGCATAGTAACCGTTATTATTCCCAATACCACAGGGAAATGAAAATTTCACCAATTATTACCTCATTACCAGTGGCCCTAATACTGAATTTTCTACTTTCTGTTCTTCACCTACAAGTGTCCTGAGGTCTAAGAATTTCTAAATTAATATAAAATTATAGTCTTTTTCACAAGATGAGATGAGGGTGTTTAAAGTATGTTTATGAACTTCTAAATATTCCATATTCTAGCTTATAGCAAGAAACGTAAAATCTCAAGGAAAAAATGTGTAAGGAGAAGTATTTTAGGTCTCAAGATATAGACGCAGGGGCTTGACCTGGCAATGAAGCCTGCTCAGAGGAATGGAGGGGTCTTTACCACCCATGGCCCTACTGGTCTCATCAGTCCAAGTCAAAAATCTTCCAAACCTTGTCAACAGGGCAAGACCAGATATTTAACTATTGCACTACTCTTCTTGAAATATTGAACATGGCTTGTATTGCAGACATCAAAATGAAGGACGAAGAGGAAGGAAGGGAAGGAGAGAGGGGGAACGGGGAGGGAGGAAAGCACTGGCCAATTGTTTGTTACAAAGATTTCTTGGAAGAACACAACACTTACATTTATTTCTCGATGGTCAAAACCCAGTAGCTTGCCCCACCTAGATGCAAAGAAGGTTGAGATGTGTAGCCTTTATTTCAGGTGGCTCTGTGCCAAGCTAGAAGTTGGTATTTCTGGTACCAGTGAAGGGAGGAGTAATGTAATAGAGTTGTAATAGGTAACTCCAATCTCTGTTACAAGAGCTTACTATGTGCCAGGCACTGTAAAAGTATAACACACCAAGGCAAATATTATCCCTGCCATAGTAGGATTGATTGTTCAGGAGGACAGGTCTTAAATAAGTGAGTAAAGAACAAGGGCTAAGTCTTGTGATAGAGGAAATCCAGGATGCCAGGGGAGCCTCTTCCTGTGCCGGATTCCATTAACTAGACATTGAGGAGGATGTAGAGGTGGGGAAAGGGATGATGGTGGTAGGTGTCTGTACCAATTCATGAAAATGCTCAGATGTAAGATGGAGGGTGAAAAACATTCATTAAAGCTTTGATTGTGAGAGAAAGAGTGGCACTGAGTGATGCTGGGAAAATGCAGGAGACAGATGAAGCATGGCCATGGAAGCCACAGTAATAAATGCATGTTTTATCCTTAAGGTGAAGGGAGCTCATTAAGCATTTTGATCATGGATGTGATATGATGAGTTGTGCACTGTATAAAGATCCTTCTGATTGCAGTGAGAAAAATGAAATCTGCAGAAGAAAACAAAAACATAGGAAAAAAGAGAGAAGAGTTGAGAATGGCTCATCTTTTTCTAGAGTTGACAATCAGGAAGATAACGATACCACAACTAATATTGGTAACCCAGAGGGAGGTCCAGGGTACATGGTCTCAAGATTTGATGACATATATTCTCCAACTTTGCCCCTATTTTTCAAGATTGCCTTGATTATTCTAGGTTCTTTAGATTCCATTGTTAACTTTAGGATGTCAGTTTTCACAAAATACCTGCCTGGGTTGCACATGAGATTGTATTGAAGCCACAGATGAATTTAAAGAGAATTATTATCTCTTCAGCCTTTTCAATCTGGACATTTCCAGCCATAATTGTGGAATATTTAACCATTTAATTACGTTTGCTAATTTCTCTAAATAATATCTTGTAGTCTTCTATGCAGAAAATGCACATGTCTTTTGTTAGATGTCTGCCAGACATATCATCAGTTACATCACCTCCAGGTAGGTCCCTAGTTACATGACTTTTATTTTGTAAGTGGTATCATTCTTTAAATAATTCTATTGCCATTGTTTGTTGCTGGTATTACAAAAATAAAATTGACTTTTGTATATTGAATGAGTATTCAGTGGTCTTGCAGAGTTCGCTTCTTAATTCTAATAGTTTTAGATTATCTCAGATTACTTTTAGATTCAAAGATTTTTAGAATTTTTTTCAAAAATTAATTTTTTTACTGTCATTACCTAATTAGAACCTCCAGTACATTAATAAATAGGAGTAATAATAGCAGGTATTCACTTCCTAGTACCAGTATTATGGGTAATATTTTTAGTATCTTACCATTGAGTAAGCTAATTGCTATAATTTTTTGTAGATACTCATTGTCCCAGTTAGAAAATTTCTTTATTTTCTTCTTTTGCTAAGCTTATTTCCATTTGAAATGAGAAAGAGCATATTCAGGGAGACCAGTTATCAGGCTCCTACATTATTCTAGATGAAAGTTGGTAACTACTCAGAAAGGTGGGCACCTTTGACATATTTTAGGCACAGAAACAGTATTTCATTTGATTGTTTAGAAATGATGGCTGTGCAGGTGGCAGGATCAACAAGGACTCTGAAATTTGTAGATTGGGCACCTGAGTGGATGAAGGGGATGTTCCCCCCCACCAATCCCACCCATTTGGTGTTGATATTGTAGATGAACCATGAGAGTTCCGGTAAGAAGAGGATACATTTGGGGCAGAGCTGGAGACACAAATTAGTGATCTATCTTCCCAAACTGAAAAGTGTTATTATTTTTTACTGATATATAATTGACATACAACATTGTATAAGTTTAAGGTGTAAATGTTGACTTGATACATTTATATATTGCAATATGATTACCACCATAGCATTAGCTAACACCTCCTTCACATCACATAATTATTTCTTATCTATGGTGGGAATAATTAAGATCTAGTCTCTTAGGAATAAGACAATATTGTTGTTTATAATACAACATTGTTGTCTATACTCACTATACTGTGCACTAGATCTCCAGGACTAGCCTGGTTTAGCCTGTCTCCCTTTTCAAGATGCTCACATGCTGGGCAGTCTGTCTCTGCAGGTTGATGCTACGGTATCCTGGTCTCACAAATGATAGGAAAGGTGAGGCCGGAAGGCTGGGTTGACCTCTCCTTTCCCTACCTCAGTCCAGCCTCTCTTCCTTCTGCGTTGACCTCTGTTTCTTCCATATTCCCAATTACAACAAGGCAGAATCTCCAGACTGCCTTCCCTGTCTGTTTCTTTCATCCCACTTTGTACAACAAATGCATTGCAGAATCACAAGGTAGGGAGAAAGGACCAAATTCAATATCTGTTAAAATATGTGTTCCTGAGGCAAGATATGTCTCCTCTATTTCCACCTTCCATTTGCCAGAAGGAGGGAACAGTAGCTCCTTCTTAGCAGTGTTACAAGGTGGTGATGTCATCCTAGGGATTTATCAATGCTCCGCCACCACCACTGAGACCAAAGTTTGCAACTCTGAGTTAGGAACAGGAGCTAAGCTTCAGAACATGGAGATAGTTATGTGGAGCAATGTCCATCTCATTCAACTCTGTCTGGTCCCTGGATCTGAAGACCAATTTCCGTGAGACATGACCCACACAGGTAGCCTTTGCTCTGCCCCTTCATGCTCACTAGTCAACCACTGGGAACTGGTTTCTCACCTCACACTTCCTCTGAAGCTGGTTTTGTAACAAATGCTGATGAGCTTCCTGGAACTCGCAGTGGACACTTTCAACCCTTCTCTTATCTTTCTTCCTCTGTCAGTTTTATATGACCACTTCCTCCTTGAAACTGTCACTTCATCTGCTTTCTCTGACACTTATCTCTACTTATTTTCTGACAGTTCTTGCACCATCCAGTTTGCAGGCTCTCCAATACCAGAGCTGGAGGGTCCTGTGGCAGACCCACCTTTCCCAGGATACAAATATCGGTTGATCTCATTTAATCAATGGTTTCAATTTCTCTAATATGGATGCCCAAATCTGTTTCTGTGAAAACTAACTTTTTTCCTGGAATTTCAGGTCATTTTATGAGCTTTTTCCAACCAACCTGGACTTATCATCTT